ATGACATGTATGGAGTAATGCTTTCAAGACCTTCGTTTGTTGATGGGGCACAACTCAAAGTGAGGAGAAACAGTTGCACACATCCATTAATAAGTGGAACATGGAATTAACAAAATATGAATCTAGGAAGATTGGAAGTTGTCAAAATTGAAATGGAATGCATTAAAGCGATATCCTAGGCATTAATGAGCTGAAATGGACTGATATTGGCCATTTTGAATCTGAAAATTACATGGTTTACTATTCCAGGAAAGACTAATTGAAGAGGAGTTTTAAAAAAAAACAAACATATCAAGATCAGTCATGAAATACATCGCTGTCTGTGATAGGATAATATCCATATGCCTACAAGGAAGAACAGTTAATACCACTATTATTCAAATTTGTACACCAACAACTTAAGCTAGTGATGATGAAATTCAAATGTTCTGCCAACATCTTCAGTTTGAAATTGATCAAATATGCAAGCAAGATGTATTGATAATTATTAGCGACTGGAATGCAAATGTTGGAAACAAAGAGGAACATATGGCCTTGGTGACAGAAATGATGCTAGAGATCACACGATAGAATTTTGAAACACCAATGACTTCCTCATTGCAAATACCATGTGTAAACAACATAAAAGACAACTATGCACATGGACCTCACCAGATGGAATACATAAAAATCAAACTGAGTACATCTGTGGAAAGAGATGGTGGAAAAGCTCCATATCATTTTGTCCATTGAATCCTTCAATATTGTGAATCAGGGGTTGAATTTATTCTTCAGTTTTTTCAACTTGAGAGATGTTGATCATGTTCTCTTTTGCTTTTCTAACTCGGCATCTTGTAAATTTCATTGTAATATTTTACTTTGTATTCTCAAATTGTCCTTCGAAATTTTTTATTCAGCTCTTTTACTTCCTCATCTTTTTTTCCATTTGCTTTCACATCTCTACTATAGTGAGCATGCTTCTGAGTTTCTTCTGACATTCTTTTTGATCTATTCTTTTTTTCTTGTCTTTTTAATGACATTTTGCTTTCTTCCTGTATGATGTTCCTGATGCCATCCCACAGATCTTCTGGTGTTTGGTCATTAGCATCTAATGAATCAAATCTGTTTTTGAGATGGTCAATAGATATAGGTGAGATGTTGAAGATCATATTTTGGGTTTCATGGACTTGTTTTAATTTGATTAAGCTTCAGCCTGAATGTGCAAATGACCAATTGACATTTTGTTTCACAGTCTGCCTGTGGCCTACTACATTTGATGATACTGAGTTCTTCTACTGTCCCTTCCCTCAGATATAGTCTACTTGATTCTTATGTATTCCATTTGGTGAGGCCCAAGAATATAGTTGCCTTTTATGCTGTTTAAAAAGACAGTTTCGATGAATAACTAATTGGTCTTGCAAAACCCTATCATGCTATCTCCAGCATCTTTTCTATCACCAAGGCCATAAATTTCCAACTACTAATCTTTCCTCCTTGTTTCTAGCCCCCACATAGCAGTCACCAGCAATTATCAATGCATCTTGATTACATGTTTCATTTATTTAATTCAATTTCATCATCACTGGCTTTAGTACATGGTACATATATTTGCATAACAGTGGTATTAACTGGTCTTCCTTGTAGGCCTATGAATATTATTCTTTCACAGACAGAACTGTACTTCAAGACAGATCTTGAAATGTTTTTTTGATGATGAATACAACTCCATTCCTCTTCAATTTGTCATCACCATAATAGTAAATCATATGATTGTCAGACTCAAAATGGTTGATACCAGCCCATTTCAGCTCACTAATGCCTAGGATGTCAATCTTTATGTATTCCATTTTCATTTTTGATGACTTCCAATTTTCCTATTTTCATACTTTGTAAATTCTACATTCTGATTATTAATGGATGTTTGCAGCTGTTTGTCCTCATTTCTAGTTGTGTCCCTTCAGCAAATGGTGGTCTTGAACATTTACTCTGTTTGCATCATCATGGTGACCTCTACTTGGAGTAGTCAGCTCATCACCAGTCATATTTTGAGCACCTGCCAACCTGAAATACTTGTCTTCTGGCACTATATCTGACAATGTTCCACTGCTGTTCATAAGGCAGAAATAGTCTGCTTCTCCTTCTTCCTAGTCTGCCTTGTCTGAAAATTCAGTTGAGACCTCTTCATCTTAAGTTATCCCTGCTAGTATTTAAAATCCCAGGGGTATAACGTCCAGTATCACAGCAACACTTAAGCCACCACAGTACGACAAGCTGATATGATGGATCAGTGGTGGGATATATATTTGTCTTCTATGTGGCTTGGGTTTGGCAGATAGTAATACCAAAAAAGTGAAGTCTGACTGGTAACAAGATAAGTTTTAATGATAGCATTAACAAGACCTACTGATGTGGATTATGAGGGAAAACAAGAATGAAGGATAGTCCATTTCCTAAAATGAAAAAACAGTGGTTGAAAAACCAAAACAAGGGCCACGGAATATAAAAAATAAGAATCAAGAATTATATTTGATACCTGTTAAGTATGAGATACCTTTTAAGTACCCAAATGAAAATGATAAATGGCCAATTAGATATATGAATCTGATGCTTAGGGAAGAGATTAGAAATGGAAATTTGAGTCATCAAATCCAGAGTTGGTATTTAGAACCATAAGACTGGTTGAAATCACTAGAAAGTGAGGGAAGGTAGAGAAACTAAATGATAAGTGTTTGAACTCTTTGTTTGTACTTAGAGAAAAAGAAATTTACTTAATACTAAGAAAAACTGTCCAGCATTATTTGCATTACAACAAATATTAAAAATATATTATATTGGGTCTATTCATCATGAAAATATTTAAAACAGATAAATTATATATAATTTTCAGACTATAAGAATATGAGACAAAGGATTTTTTATAAAGTTTAGGCTAGAAGAATTTTGCAGGAGAGTAAATTTTAATTTAAAAGATTTATTTTATAACATGATGATAGTACTTCCATTTAAAGGCCAAATGTTTAGCAATATAATAAAAATAATATGAAATATGTAACATTTAAAAATTCTGAAGCCTATGCAGTATAGAATTTGTGGTGTTGCTGGGTTTTTTAGTTAGTGAATGAGTCTTGTCTACCACCATTACTGATATGTCATCATGATCAAAATGGCTTAAGTAAAAACAACAACAATTCAAAATAAACAACAAAAAAGAACAAATCAGAGTATTTGATTCTACATTGTTACTCACTCATGCTATTTCAAGGAGTAAAACAGAGTACAGTGTCTTTGTACAATAACCACTGTACAAGGCTAGCGATTTGAGCCCACCAACAATTCCCTGGGAAAAGATGAGGCTTTCTACTCCTGCAGAGAAGTACAGTCTCAAACCCCTATACAGGGTTCCTATGAGTCAGAACCAATTCAACAACATTTAAAAACAACACAACAATTCATCATGACTTAGGCAATAATTTTCATGAAGAAAAAAAAAAAATCATCAAAAAAAGATAAATATTGAGTTAGTGAAAAGACTTTATTGAGAGTTGAAAATCTGGCTAACTTGCAACGTGACTGAAAAGAAATATGATTCAAGCATATGACATATATTTCTTATGAATATTAATATAAGTGAAATTGGGAATAACAAAGATCTTAGGGTAAATGTCTTGTAAAATAATCAAGAGTCAGAAAATATAAGCAATAGACATGAAACTTCAAATTATTATTTTTTAGTTCCAATTAGTACTGACATTATACCACAGTTAATCAAATGATAATTTACTGAGAGGCCCAGTAAGATAATCCTTATGTTTGACAACTATATTTTCTGAATTATTCTCCCAATAATTAAAACAAAATGAATTTAGTTTTCAAAGACTGATATATAAAGGCATCCCAAAAGTCTAGTTTACTCATAACTTCCATTTATCTGTATCTTTGTTCATTCTGTACAAAAAAAACTAAGACATACTCTCAGGGTATAAGATTTAAATTTAGTTTTTTTTGTTTGTTAAATGAACTAAAGACATACATTTTAGTAGATAGGGATCTTAGAAGAGGAAAACAGACTTTTTCATAAAAGAAGTTTTTAACAAGGGAAATTACATATTTATTTTCCTCTCTAGACCCACTTAACAGATCAAAATGGCTTGAGTAAAAACAACAACAAAAAAACCCCACAACAATTTAAAATAAACTATAAATAAAGGATATTTGATTCTACACTGTTATTCACTCATATGTGCATTTATCAAATAAATAGAATTCATTACCAAAAAAAGGATAACAAAGTAAAAAACATCTTAGAAATTTAAAAAAAAGCACAATTAGTAAAATTGAAATTATGGCCTTTTTTCTGTGGTTAATGGATCTATAGAACAATAAGATACAACTTCTTGCCATGAATGTAAACGTTCTTTTCAAGTTATCTTTCATAATATATTTTGCTATAAGTAACATTCTAAGTACTCTTTCAATTCAAATACCCTTTTCAAAAAGCATCAGTTCTGTGTTGTTGCTGTTGTTAAGAACCGTGGAGTCAGTTCGGACTCAAAGCGCCCCTGTAAAGGGTTTCCAAGGATAAGCTGGTAGATTTGAACTGCCGACCTTGTGGTTGGCAGTCCAGTGCCTTGGCTTACTGATATTACAAGTAATTTTTTTAATAACTGTAAAAATTACTGTTGAAAAAAAGGCCTGTGATATTTTTTCCTTTAAATGTAGTCAGTTTTAATTAACTCTAAATATAATTGTAATATATTATAAAAACAAATTTTGAATGAACATGAACAAAATTATGGCACAACTACTCAAAATTCAAAAAATATGTTGTTTTCATGTACACATACACGAAATAAAATAATACCATAACAGAAGGGTGCTGTATCTGTGTTTAAAGAAGGAGTTGTTGGCAAACACCACAGCTCACTTCTGCTGAAATGTACACAACTGATATATGCAGCACAGAAAGCTGGCACCAAGGGCTTACAACCTTAATTTGCCTGCAAGAAGGAACGGAGATTTACCTTCAGAGCACGTTCCTGATTGTTTTCAGCAGTCAGATGTCTCATGTTGTTTGCTGAAGTCTGGTTCTGCTCTTTCAGATGATGAAGCTCCTTCTCCAGCCGTTTGCACTGCCACAGGGGAAGAATCCCATTAAGTAAAGGAGTTATAGCATTTTTTTTTTTCCACCAAGCCACATGAATTAATGTAAATACTATTATTGCATTCTCCTAAAAGACAAGGTATCTTTTTCAACAAGAATATTAAGTTAAAAGTAATGCTGAGTACAAACTAAGTATTGTTTATACATTACTCAGTGTAATATAGTATTCTGGGAATTCATTTGTAATTTTCAATTAGTCTTTTACTAAACATTACTCGATAAACAACAAAATACTTATTTTTTAAAAATCAAGGTCAACACATGTTTTAAATTATTTTTTTCATGAAGTAATTTTTTTATTGTAAATCTGTTGTCTGAATAAAGCATGCTCCTAATCATACTTTCAAAAATCATTGAATTTTAAAGAAACTATGACCGTCTATGTACGATTCGATGGCACCTAACAACAATGACCATCTATGACAAAATTGTATTTTTTTTTTAAATTATCAAAAAGTGTAGGACTTTCCCAGATTCTCAGATTTTCCAGGATCTAGAAACAATTTTGTAGGGATAAGAAAGGTTATAGCCATAGAGTGCTACAAGATACATAAACAAATGAGGAAATGAATGCTTTCATTTCTTCTGTTTTGACTAAATCTTACTCTTAAGTAAAACAACAAGTAGTAACTAACATATAAAATTATTCTTTGACCTCCTTGGAAGATAAGAGAATAAATTATAAATAAAAGCATTGATGTGCTATTAGAGGCATCATTGTTTATAAACTATCGAAATATGCATTTTGACTGTAAGATCTCAATATACAAATTTCCATATAAATATGCAAAACATTCTACACAATGTTCACGGGGAGATCTACTGTAAATCAGAACAATATGAAGATGCAGGTAGAATCATCTAAAGGTAAAAGTGACTAAGCCTATCTTTCAGTAAAAAATTAAAAGCTCACAAGTTAATTAATTTATTTTTAAATTGGGATATTTAAATAACAAACAAGAAAACAAATATATTGATTTAAGATTTGGAGAAATGTTCTTTCTAGATTATTTCATGTATGACTATTTGTTATATTGAATAAAAATTATTACTTATGATGCAAGCAAGATGCAAATTTGTATTTCTTGGTATTTAATACTGGTCACATCTGCTCTGGACCTCTATAATATTATGGGGTCTATATATCACTATTTCTCAACCTCGAGTAATGTACAAATCCTTTCTAAAGAAAAAATTCCTTACCAGACTCCAGATACTTATGTAAATTATGTTGTTATTTATGTATAAATATAAAATTAAATTGAGTATCTATCTCTTGTGCATACACAACACAACTATAAGGCATATTTATAAAATATATAAAATAACTATAAAAATCAAGACATTTCAAATGAATTTCATATAGAAAAGGTTTACTGAAACTATATTGTACAAATATGATATAGTACTGATTTAATAAAGTAGCAGGTCCGTTCCCACTGCATCTTCATTCTACTGTGTGGTGTGACAATTTAATTCACCCATCACGTTTTTTCTTTTTGAACTATGCTAAACCTTTGACCTTTATTTGGAAGGGACAAGTGATTTATATATTAACTCTGTCTCTCAGTTCTTTTTTAGCCTTTAAGAATTAAAATATTTGGCCATATGCAACCTACATACAAGTGTGTTTAATGAAGGCACAAATTGTAAAGCACAGAAACGAGTAAGATGTGGGAGTAAACATCACAATCAAGATGCTGGATGTGATACGGTCAATCTAACAGAGATGGTTTCTCCTAGAATAATTGTCTACATTTTCATCAGTTTGAACACAAAGTTATTAAGAGTTGTTAATACAAAGTTATTATAGAAATAACTACAGAATTCAAAGGCAGTATATATAAACTTTGTAATGGGGTAAAAAAATGTTTCATGGGAAGATGACATCTCAGTTGGACTTGATTTGGGTGTATAATTTTAGAAGTTGAAAATGGAAAAGGAAGGAAGAATGAATACAAAAGAAAAGGAATAAAGGTGGAAACGTCAGTGGTTTTTCAGTGGAAGTAAGAAAGCTTACTCAAGAGCTTCCTCATCCCCTATTTTCTGTATCCTCCAGTCAAGTAGAAATGACCCATAGAAACTTCTTCCCTAATCACACATAGAACAAATAACTCACTTATTCTTACTCAAATACATGCTGAATTTATTTTCACTTAAAATATCTTTGAACTGAATTTAAAAAAAAAACAAACATGTTTTGTCAAAATATATATTTATAATTTACATTTAAGGTTTCTTTAGATTATTCAATTATATATTACTTCTTTTTTTGTTGTACTTGGAAAGCCTAACACACTTTCCACAACTGCATATTTACATATAGTTTCTTCTGGTTTCTTTTTTATTTTACTAAACTCTAAGTTTGAAATTTAAGGAGCTCTGGTAGCGTCGTGGTTACGAATTGGGCTGCTAACCTCAAGGTCGGGAGTTCGAAACTACCAGCTATTCCACGGGAGACATGAGGCTTTCTGCTCCCGTAAAGATTTACAGCCTCGGAAACCCTGTACAGGGTCGCTATGGGTCGGAATCGACTGGACAGCACTTAACAACAACAACAACCATTTTTAAATTTATTTTGAAACAAAAGGATTTAACAGATTATCTATGGTCCGGCTGTTGTTCTTAAGTGTTGTCAAGTCGGTTTCTATTCATAGTGACCCTGTATAGGGTTTCTGAAGGTATAAATCTTTGTGAGCACAGAAATCCTCATCTTTCTCCCATGAAGCAGTTAGTAGGCTTGAACCGCTGACCTTGTGGTTCACAGTCCAGTGCTTATCCTCTAGAGTTACCACATTCCAAAATGGACCAGTGGTGGTGTGTCGTGGAGTTGGTCCTGACCCATAGCGACCCTGTATAGGGTTTCCAAGGCTGTAAATGTTTACAGAAGCAGAAAGCCTCATCTTTCTCCTGCAGAGCAGCTGGTAGTCTCAAACAGCTGACCTTGAGATTAGCAGTCCAATTAATAACCACTATGCTACTGTTACTTTGTAATTTCATACACTATTTGATAGGTAAAGAAACCCTTAAACCTATATTGCATATTTTTATTTCTATTATCACCAATTAATTCTTTTTCATGCTTATTTTTAAAGTTTTAATATTAATTATCTTTGAAAACATACAAAATAGATGGGGAATAATATAACAAAACTTATGTTATTACTAATACTTCTTCAAGGTAAGCAAAATTTCCCCATTCTTCTAATATTCTCAAAAAATAAAATACTGGAACTACTTAACAAATTTCTCCCTTTCCAAATTCTATTATTATCTTTTTCTCCCTAAGGAACCACTACTTTAAGTGAATTTTTACTAACCAATATGCATTTATTAAGCACTTACTATGTGTGCCCTGCTTTGGTATTTTAGGATAAGCAATGGACTGACTTCTATAAAGGTTTACTGCCTCAGAAACCCAATGGAGTACTTGTACCGTCCTATGAATGAGAATCGACTTGGCAGCAGTGGGGCTGGATTGTTGTTTGTTTTCGCTTACTATGTAATAGGCTATCATGCTTTGGATATTCTGTCACGAAGAACCAGTTCACGGAAAAGGACATCATGCTTGGTACATTAGCAAAAGAGAAGAAGATCCTCAGTGAGATGGACTCACACAACAGCAACAACAATGGGAGCAAATACAACAACTGCAAGGATGGTGCCGGACCAGGCAGTGTTACCTTCCATTGTGCATAGGGTCACTAAGAGTCGGAAACAACTCAAAGACACCTAACAACAATGTTTTTGCGCAACTATAGATGGAAAGACTACAACATTTAGCTGAGTAGCTAAAGACACATGCCCGAAATATCGGTCTCTCTATGTGCAGAGGAAAGAAGAGTAATGGAAACTGAAGATACGTGGGATCATTTAGTCCAATGGACTCATGGAACAGCAGTCTCCATGACCTTCAGAGCAGACTAGCTGGTGACAGACTACTACTGCCAACTGATCTGAAATGGATCACATTAGAAAATCTTGGATAGAGTGGGAGAAAATGTGCATTAAAACCTCAAACTTATAAAAATAACCAGGCTTGTTGTTGTTGTTAAGTGCCGTCGAGTCGGTTCCGACCCACAGCGACCCTGTACAGGGTTTCCGAGGGTGTAAATCCTTACGGGAGTAGAAAGCCTCATCTTTCTCCCGCGGAGCGGCTGGTAGTTTCGAACAGCTGACCTTAAGGTTCGCAGCCCGATTCGTAACCACTACGCTACCAGAGCTCCTTACTTGGTCAGAAAAGAGATTAAAGGAATCTGTGACTACAGCCCTTGGCTACCCTTCAGGTCTGGAATTTGATTCACCTTTGTGGCTCAAGTTTCAGTCAAGCAGCAGATATGTATATATGGGGAACAACAACACTAGTAAGATAACTGCACCAGGGAATGGTCAAACATTCAAGATCAAAAGGGCAACATTTACCTAAGGACGAAGTTCAGAAGGATTGGGAAGGAAGGTGGAATCAAAATAAGAATCACAGAAAGGAAGTGGGATAACAGTTATTACATGGAGGGGACTGCAGTCATTGGCATGAAATGAAGTGTATGATTTGATTAACGTAAAACTGAGGATCTGCTCTGTAAACATGAACTCAATTCACAATAAAAAGTTTCAAGAAAAGAAAATTGAGTAAGTGTGGTATAAGGACACCTTGGTGTACACTTTTCTTGATTTAAAATTATCCAGCATCCCCTTGGTCTGTGTACAGGTTCCTCATGAACATAAGTAAGTATTCTGGAATACCCATTCTTCACAATGTTATCCATGGTATGTTAAGATCCACACAGTCAAATTGTCTGTGCATACTCAATAAAGTGATGTGGTGCTGTAGGGTAAGCACTGGAGTGCTAATCACAAGGTGACTAGTTCAAGCCAATCTCCTTGGAAACTCTATACAGGGTCACGATGAGTTGGAACCGACAGGACATTACTTAACAACAACACAACAGAAACATAATATCTTTCTGG